ATCGGATCTGATCTAATGTAAGAATAAAACATCACATTTTGTCGTAGAGGCGAAACATAGAATTTAGTTTTTTTAACGTTCACACTTAGCTCCTAAAATATTACCATTAATCCAATAAAACGACTAACATATTATTATAAACAACTTCTTTATTTAATTGTATTGAGATGGAAATTATAAATACATGACAATAAAATGAAACATAATTTACCATTATTGTGCTATTAAAATTATTTGGTTGGTTGGATACATTGAGTTGTCCACTCTACTCATTTTATTAAACATGCTTTCTCCTCATGCCTTGGGTTCAATCTCCTAACCAACTGTATTCAAAACAGCACATGATTGTGATGATAATTATATAGAATGTTTTTTTTTTCAAAACAAAAACAGTATAGGTCAATGTATGTTTACAGTTTTTACAAGCAAGTCATGTTATTCTTTTCAAGTTAAATAAAGTTTCATTTTTATGTGATTCAATTCATTTTCATACATAACAATGTTTGACACACCGGCATTGTACATTTTGGTCTTTCGAGCCGGATAAAACCACAACCTTAAGGTAAATTAAAAGTACTTACAAACTGTTCAGTATTTATTCAGTTGTACATTAATTAAAGTTTTATTGAACATTAACAAACCATGTCAAAGCAAGATCAGTTACAACAATTATAATATAGAATTTGAAAATGTGCAATCTAAGATTGAAGACATTGATTCAGATTCAGAATTGAATCATGAAGCTGAAGAGGATGAGCTTGAGCAGCAATATTTTAGGCTTTGCAAAAATAGCTAATTTTATTGAACAACAGACGTATCCACTACCATAAAATAACGAAGTTGTTGTTAATCACAATTCTAATTCAAATAACAGTACACAGTTCTCAGACTCGTCCATTACAGTTCGACTACCCACCATAAATCTACCAAGCTTTTATGGGAAATTTGATGAATGGATGCCATTCTTTGATTCATTTTCAGCATTAATTGGCAAGACCCCCGCCGCTGCAAACCTGCAGACTTAGCGAATTTCCATTTGCCTGATTGGATTTACACTTAAATGTCTCCTTAAAAATATCACATTTATTCCCTATTTCAATAAAATTTGTTTAACGAATACTTAGGTTTGCTGCAACAGGGAGGATAAAAAAGTGTTTTGTTGTAAAATGTTAATACTGTAGTTTAGTAAGGAATTGGTGTATTTTCTAAATTTGGTCAAAATATGTTCATAAACAAGCAAACTACAACAGTTGACTTATTCTCCATAAGAATAACATGGGATTTTTAAATTTAAAATTTGTTGACATTTTTTTTGGAAAAAATCAATATTTTTTTAATACTCTGTGTTTTCTATACCAATGCACTTAGCCCTTCTCCGGTTGAATTTTCTTACTTGTTATGAAATTATCTTTACTCTGATATGCTACAAGTAAAGGTTTTTTGAAACGACAAAAATAAAAAATAAATATTTTTTTGAAAATTTGCAAATGCCCATTGTTCAAAATTTTCAAATAGAAACACATGTCAAAAGGCACATCATTTTATAGGGTTTTTATATCTGAAGAACTTTGTAATTTTCACTTACTTTGTGTCTCTTTTAGTTTTCGTGTAAATAACAAAAAAACCTAATTTTCCTATATCAATAATGCATGTTATTTGGGATTTACCCATTTCAGAAAAAAAATTTAGTGTTAAACGTAAATAACATGCATTTGATATAGGAAAATTAGGTTATTTGTTATTTACACAAAAACTAAAAGAGATATGAAGTAAGTGTAAATGACACAGTTGTTCAGAATTGAAAAAACCTATAAAATAATGTGCCTTTTGACATGGGTTTCTATTTATAAATTTGGAAAAATGGGCATTTGCAAAAAAAATATTTTTTTGGAATTTTTGTCGTTTCAAAAAATCTTTACTTAGCATATCAGAGTAAAGTTAATTTCATAACAAGTAAGAAAATTCAACCGGAGAAGGGCTAAGTGCATTGATATAAGAAACACAGAGTATTAAAAAAAGTATTGATTTTTCCATTAAACTGCCGCCATTTTGAAACGAAGAAAGATAATTAATTTCTGTTTTCGCCAGAATGTTTGTCTATTAAATACCTTTAAAATGGTGTATAACTTAACATAAGTTTACATTTGAAAATTCCGAGATTCGAACTAGTGACCCTCAGTTTTTGGCACATCCTGTATCGGAAAAAAGTAAAAAATATTTTTACGTTATTCCTTGGAGTTGGGTGGGAGGGGGTGAAGGGGGCACGTGTTGATAATAAGGTTCGTGATGTCGGTGTTGACCCGATATATTTACGTTCAAACCGCCTTCGAAAGTTTTCATTAATAAGGGCTACATTAGTCTTTGTTTGCTTTACCACAAAGGCTATTTATTTGGAATTAGTTCATTTGGAACTTAACAACTGACGCATTTTTAGCAGCATTCAATCGCTAGGCCTGTGTAACTACATAATATTCCGATAACGGAACAAACTTTGTTGGAGCAAATAACGAAATAAAGGAACTTTACTCCCTTCTTAAAAGTAATGATCTTCAAGAACAAATCATAAATTCTACATCTTTTCAAGGCATCAAATGGCTTTTCTCACCGCCAAATTCACCCCATTTTGGAGGGCTTTGAGTATCCGCAGTTAATTCAGGAAAGCAGCATTTAAGGAAGGTTGTGGGGAACGCTAATCTCACATTTGAAGACATGTATACTGTGCTTACAATGATAGAGGTGTGCCTGAATTCAAGACCTCTAACTCCTCAGTCATATGATCCTAAAGATCCCCTTCCTCTAACACCTGGTCATTTCTTAACTGGGAAAGCACTTACAAGTTTACCAGATCCAGATTATACATTTTAGCAAGAAATGTCATGCAATGTCAGTAGTATTGTGTGACATTTCTTTGAGAACTTCGGTATTGACATTACCCTCTTGTTGAGGTGTAGGAAGGCCAAATGAACTCAAATCTCTACCACACATAGTCGAAACCAGAGATGCAATTGCCAGTAACGCTTCATTGTAAACTACCTCATTGTAAGGTGTATCTGGAACTTCACGACGAAAACGCACCAATATGTCTTCGGCCATGTCGTCTTTAAAGGTTTCCCAAAGTTGTAAGGGGTTTGACAGCCCACAGGCGCTCACTAGGATTGCAAATAGATGTCCGATACGTTGTGGAGAGCGAGTCAGAACAGCATCACGCATTGTGGATTCCCAATGGTCATTGCGTTTTGATTTTCTGTTTATATTTCGTTGTTTTTTCGTCACCAGCATGGTAACCTATAAGGCCCATGTTATTTTTTTATTAATTTTTTGTGCTTATTTTAGAGCCCATTTTAATTTATAAAGGGATTCTGCATTTGCACACCTGCAGGAAAATGTATTTCTAATAGTATGCGTAGATTTTCCCTACTATGTAAACGAGCTGAGAAAAAAAGGTTTTGAAGAAACATGTTTGCCTAATTAATATATAAATAATATTTAAAAAATTAAAACTAATAAATACTTAACAGACAGATATCAGTAATTGAGATCAGCACCATCTATCGGTGGCCCACGTCAACTACGACAATTTTGATTTAGAAACTGGTGACAACTTCAACTTTAACATGAGGATTGAATGGCTAGTTGTATTAATAGTCAAAGGTGTTATTAAATACACTACCTATGTCATTCGCCTATTGGTTCTAAATCGATTACTACTTACCATATTTTATATGTATTTACCGTGTCCACAATGTAAATATATTACTTCAAGTGTTATTAGATGCATTTTTATGTACTTCAGAACAATTTCAACTAAATCCATGGAGCCGTTTCTTAAATCATGGTGCGTGCAAACTTAACTCGTATCAAGGTGACTGGTGAACCTTATTATTTTATTTGGCCTAGGTGGTTTCAGTCTTCCTTTCATTAGTAGGCATAATAACTCAAGATAATTAATTATTGCGTCTGTATAGTACAATATACTTTCCACCTCAAACAACGCATGCTGCTGAATTGGTGTGATGACGCATCAAAGTTTAGATCAAAATGTAAGCTATTACATTTTTTTAAAATTTAAATACACTTATGCCCCCAAGTTAATATCTTTAACCACGGATAGAACTACTCGTTCTATTTACACGTTAAGGTTGCAGCCAGTTTTGAACGTAGTTGAATTGCGCCACCAACAGAATGCGCTGATTCACGTCAGTATGAATATATATCAAGCCAAGTTGAAGGGACATTTGTTTCTATGTCATGCCACATCAATTGTCTTATCTAAGAAACAAAAACGAAGAGAGAATGTTTGTTGCGGTGCACTCTGGACTGCGAGCGGCTCATTAAACTACTGTATGTTCATCTTAAATTAAAATATACCCCCGCCGCAGCAAACCTGATGCCTAAGAAAATTTCCGTTTGTCTGAATTTATTTTTAATCAAATATATTTAAATAATATTAAGTTTAATGAGTACCTAGGTTTGCTGCTACAAGGAAACTAATAAAGTGTGTTTTTTTTTTGTAAAATGTGAATTTTTTTGTGAAAAATAAATAAATTTGCCAAGTTTGATTAAAATATATCCATAAACAAGCAAACTACATTTTTTACAATATTCTCCATAAGAATAACATGTGAAATTTAAATTTTTTTTTATTTTCTCCATTGCCAATAACAGTACAAAAACACTTTGATATACTAAATTATTTGTTTTTTAAGCTATTTAAAAATGTCTAGAGAGAAATTGGGAAATTTTGTGTGTTGAGGGTAAAAAATGAGAAAACCCTTTTTTCCATAAAAACCCTCCTTAAAACTCCGTTCCCATGGTCCGATCATGCTGGTTCGCGAACTCATTCAAGCCCGCCTAGGTCTTACCTTGCCACCTACATACGGTAATAGCTACTTCCCTATAGGGAAATTTGCTAAAAGAGAAATAGATACCGTTACATGCAGAAGGGATGTCTTATAATTCCATGAATTCCATGTAATAGTATAGTTGGTTGTGGGTTGCAGATGTCGGCGCGGTGTTCAGCAGTGTCGTGAGATGAAGTGGTTTGCAAGGACCGTTGCCTTGGCAGCGGTATGGTCATGTATCCACGCAGAGTTGGCCCAGCAGTCGGAGATACCAGTGATAACAGGAGTGACTATCAAGAGGGTGTCAGACGACTTGTCTGTGGGGGTGGCAGGGAGTGGTTATGGTGCGGGGACTCATGTGTTGGATATCAAATTGTCCGAAGTACTGCGTGGTTCGAGACAACTAGCACAAAGCATGCGTAAGTAGTCTGCAATCATCAATTTTCATTCGTTCCTTAAGTTACTATTTTATTTATGTCAGTTTCCTTGGATATGAGTTCACACATACAGGGTGGCTTGTTTGCGGCAACCTTCTTAGATATGAGGGGCTACAATAATTATGGTTAACTTTGAAAATTTTGTCCTTAGGTGTAGTGGGGGTAGCTCAAAATTTTAAAATGACAAGTATAGTCGAGTTTGGTATCATTTAAAATTCAAAATTACTTTTAATAACCATTGTCTTAATCATTTTTAGCTGCCATTTTGTTATTAATGGTCCGATTTCTATTTTCTTTATGTTAATTGTTATGTTTCGTCAATACCTGTAAAATGATACCAAATTCGAGTATACTTGCTATTATAAGATTTTGAGCTACCCCCTACCCCCTACCACCAAATCTGACTAATTTATTGTAGCACTGCATATCCAAACAAGCTGCCGCAAACCGATTTCCAATATCTCGAATAGTTAAAAAGTTAAAGGGGTTGCAAGTTAATTTTCAGCCACCCTCACCCTCATGGTTATTTGGATTTGAAACGTTTTAGGGCGCCATTTTGTTGTTAGTGGGCCGATTTTGGTTTTATTTATGTCAATTTTTATGTTTAGGCAATACCTGTAAAATGATACCAAACTCGAATATACTTGTCATTTGTAAATTTTGAGCTATCCTCTACCCCCACGACCCCTAAGGTCAAAATTTTCAAAATTGACCATCTGTTGTAGCCTCTCATAGCTAAGAAGGTTTTGCTACAAACAGATTTAGAATATCTCAAATGGTTGAAAAGTTAAGAGGGGTGTAAGTTACTTTTCAGCCACCCTGTATATTATGATGAAAGGTGGCCACATGAAATTTGTTTACAAGGCAATTGCTCATATGCAAACTAGACAATCAAGTTTAACAATTTCCCTATTCCTTAGTCACCCAACCTGTATAAACAGCCTCAGTATCAAAGGTCAACCCCAACGTTATCTGTGAAGCTAGTTCCGTGTTAGCCACTGAAGAAGACACATGGGGTACCCCACTACACTACAAGTTCAGTAAGCAAATTTACTCTTGCAAAAAGGTATTTATTATACTTTCACTTTAATTTTTTGGGCTGTTCCCATTATTCTATCCAACATTTGGTCCTTCGAACCCTGATAATCAATCCAGTACCTAACTTAAATATTTCCAATTTAATTTTTAACCCACCATCAAGTCACATCAAGAAATAAAATTACAACAGTTAATAAATTCCAAGAAAATCTATTTAATAACTAAAGTAACACATATTTCAATTCCAAAATTTATTTGGTAATTTTATTCAAGACATTAACCTCAAGAAGTATTTTAAATTATATTTTTATGATTTTTCAATTCAGGAAAAGAATGATTGTTTTCTTGTAATTTCATGCAAGCCAAGTCACATTCAAGCATTTCAAGTTAGTTCAAGTGATGTGGACAGGACCATTGGACCTTTCAATTCCACTGTCTCAGAGTATTTCAATTAATTCTTTCAAGTCCACTGTTCCACCAACAACCTATTTTACTTTGTCCCTCGACAGGGAATTTTTGTGCTAGAAGAGGGTAATTTTTCTTATTACCCAGAAGAGTAGCAGGGAAATTTTTGTTCAAGAAGAGGGTAATTTTTCTATTACTTCTACATCAAGAGGGTAAAGAGAGTCAAAGCCTGCATCACTGCTGGTACACCTGATTTCCCAGAGTTACTTTAACTTATTTGGTTTTATTCAATGTTGACAACCATTCTCTTCAATTTCCATTTACATTGAGGTTATGTTATGACTGTATTCTGAATAATACAAGAAGATTGAAGAATTTATTGAACATGTTACTGGTGTGTATTCCTTTTATTATTATTTCTACTTAATGCTGAAAGTAGACTTCTATCATTACAATGAATATTGAATCATTTCATGTTTGTTATGAAGTAGGCCTACATGACCAACTTTGTTATTATTTACTTCACTAGGCCTGACATTATTATAAACTACTTTATTTGATTTATGCGTAACCTATCAAAATGACTGAAAAGCTCAAGAAGGAAATTGAACTTCTTAAATTTAAGAGGGATTCATTTGTACAGAAAATTGATTTACTTCAAAAAAAGGGTTTAGGTTTATCTGTAGACCATAGTCCAGATGAGCTCTCCGAGTTCAAGGTTCGCTGTGAGCGGCTACCTGCCCATTATGAAAGCTTTGTAAGATACCAAAACGATATGGCTAAATGTTTTATTCAGTTAAAAGAGCCTGAGGAATTGAAATCATTACAAATTGTGACCAATGAAGTAGATGATAACTATTACAGTATACTAGCCATTAGAAATAAATTATTTTCTAAAGATCAGTTGTCTGATGCTTCACAAATAGAAAAATCTACTTCGACTTCTAATGTAAAACTTCCTAGAATTAACTTGCCTATTTTTGATGGCACTATGAAAGAGTGGCCCCACTTTAAGGAAATGTTTATAGCCCTAGTGTACTCAGACGATTCACTTACACCAATTCAAAAGTTTCACTATTTGATTTCTTGTACGAAAAATGAAGCAAATGTACTTGTAAGATCACTGCCTATGTGTTCAGATAATTTTGACTTAGTCTGGACCCAACTTAATGACAGGTATGATAATAAACGTCTACTCGCTTGTCAATACATTGAAGAAATCTTATGTTTACAATCAGTGACTTATGAAAATCCCAAGTTGCTGAGAAATATGTTAGACTTAATTACAGAAAACACCATGGCTCTAAAAGCAATTAGTTCACTTCCGAATCTAGAAGATTTCATTATCTTACATATTTCATTGAAAAAGTTAGATAAGCACACTCGCCAACTTTTTGAAAGAAAATTCTCAGACAAAGAGTTCCCTACCTTAGATGATTTCTTGAAGTTTCTCAAGGATCACTGCAAGTCTCTCGATGCAGCTCAGGGCTCGTCTCCTGCTTCAACTCACACCACTTCCCGGCAAACCGACTTGCGTTCGACTTCCACCAGTAAGCCTAACAAGTACTCAAAGTCAGATAAGTCTGTACAAAGAACTTTTCTCGCCAAAACTCAGGTTCCAACTTGTTTATTTTGCACTCAGGCCCATAACCTGTATTCTTGTCCTGAATATCTTAACTTGACTCCTGGTGCCAGACGTGATTTCATCCGAAGTAAACAATGTTGCTTTAACTGTTTAAATGCGACACATATGCTGAATAAATGTAATTCAATTCATTTATGTAGAAAATGTGGCAAAAAACATCACACTTCCCTGCATGAAGATAATTTCCTCAAGACTAATTCAACTTTTGACCAAAATAAATCTCCAAGGCCTAACTTAGACTCAACGTTACAGCCTGAAACCCACAAGGAAACATCAGTTTCTCAAGTCAGCTTTGTTCATCACACAAATGCTCCTACACCCTGTGTAACTACTCTTCTTGGCACTGCCCTTATTCAGCTTAGAGACTCTACCAACAACTTTCAGACTTTTAGAGCACTAATTGATCCTGGATCCATGAGTTGTTTTATCACTGATCACTGTGTGAAAAAACTTGGGCTTCCTCGTTCAAAATTAGAACAACATGTCTTAGGTATTTCACAAACTGCTGTCACTTCGACCAAAGGCAAAGTGTCGTGTATACTGAAGCCTACCAAAGCTCATACTCCTCTAATTCCAACTACTGCTATTGTCTTGAACAAGATTACTTCTCCTTTACCGTCTGTACGGTTAACCAAGGACATTATCAATCATTTTAAGGATTGGAATTTAGCCGACCCACATTTTTATGAGCCTTCACCTGTTGACTTCCTCATTGGAGCTGATTTATTCCCCTTGATTTGTGACGGTGGGCGGTCAAATAGCCCTCCTGGATTCCCTACTCCATTCAAAACCATTTATGGATGGACCTTAATTGGTAGAACCAGTCTGTCTTATTTTGAAACCAACCAACGTGCTCTTCTATCTGCACTAACTTGTCCATTACTGAGTCCTCACTTGAGAAACATCTCAAACTATTTTGGGAACTTGAAGATTTACCACAATCTAAGCCGATAAGTCCTGAAGATCAAGCATGTGAGAGAATATTCGTTAAAACACATTCCAGGGATCCTTCTGGAAGATATATTGTTCGACTTCCGTTCTGTGAAAATCCAGTTGACTTAGGAAACACTTTCCACCATGCAGAACGTAACTTTCACGCTCTTGAGCGACGTTTCCAGAGTGATTTCAACTTCAAATCGGCCTATGTAAATTTTATGAAGGAATATGAGGATTTAGGCCATATGACTCAGCTTCATTCTTCAACTTCGACTACTTCAACCTACGTTATTCCGCATCATGGAGTTTTTAAGAACTCAGAACAAAATCCTAAATTGAGAGTTGTATTCAACGCCTCGGCCCGCAGTTCAAATGGATTTTCTCTCAATGACAAGCTATTAACGGGCAAGAAACTACAAAATGATGTTTCTGAAATCTTGACCCGCTTTCGCCTTCACCCTTTTGTTATCTCATCAGACATCTGTAAGATGTATCGTCAGATATTGATCCATCCTGAAGATAGGATTTTCCAAACCATTCTTTGGAGAGAAAACCAAAACTCACCGCTTGCTACTTATGCATTGAATACTGTCACCTATGGTGTTAGTTCATCACCATTTCTGGCCATTAGAACGCTACATCAACTTGTAGCTGATGAAGGTGCTGATTTCCCACTCGCTAGCAAGGCTATTTTGAATGACATGTTCGTTGATGATTGTCTCACTGGTAGCGATTCCCTAGATGAAGCTTTCAAACTCAAATCTGAATTGATTGAGCTCTTAAAGCGTGGTGGTTTTGAACTAAGTAAATGGGCCAGTAATTCTCGTGAACTTTTAGAGGATATTGTAAGCAAGTCTCAAGATATTTTATTTTCTGAAGATAAGGACCACAATCAGTTCATTAAGGTACTTGGTTTAAAGTGGAACCAAAACACCGATGAGTTTACTTATGAAGTTCC